AGTGAGACCCAATTAAATTCTTTCATAAGAGTTGCCATGGTCTTGGTGTCTCTTCACAGTCCTAGAACACTTTATGACCACCACTTCCTGCACTTTTGGAGGACCAGAACTCGGATCCTAGCACCCACACTGAGAGGCTCCCAAATTCTTGTAACGCCAGCTCCCAGGAATCCAATGCCCTACTTTAGTTAGCCTCCACGGACACCAGCACATACACAGATCACACACACACACACACACACTCTAGCACACATACATAAAAAATAATAAAAATATTTTAAAAAATAATAATAGGGCCAGCGAGATGGCTCAGCTATTGAAGTACTTGCTGCCATGCCTGACCACCTGAGTTCCATCCCCAGAGCCCACTTAATGGTGTGATTCTACCACTCAGGGCAAGCATGCATGTATACATACAATCACTCAGTCAATGTTAAAAAATAATAAGTAATAATATCTTGTTGTGCAGTCTCAAGAACCTGAATCTCATGCCTGCTCTGTCCCGTTGAGAGCTTTGCAGTAGATGGCCGCACAATAGTGGGAACTAGTTAGGCCCATGAGACCCAAGCTAATCTTTTCCGAGAGCAAAGCTTCCATGACCTCACTCTCTTCCTCTAGGCTCCATCTCTTCAAGGTCCCACCACCTTTAAAGACATGACCCTCTGGGGACAAATCACATGCAACCCACAGCAAAGGAAGCAGCAAACACCGCTTATAGTTGTAGCCTGAGGGCTCCATTATCTACTCAAGGAGGAGTGTGCAAAGATACAGGCTGCTCCTGTCATCTTGGCCCCTTTCCTTTGAAACACAGAGTGGGTGTGGCTATTGTGGACACCACAAAAGATCCCAGGGAAGCCACCAACTGGAAGCAATGGGGCTACTTTCAGACAGAACTGTGACAAAGGGCCATGCCTACATTTAGGCCAAAAGGTCTTGGTAGCAAGCCCTCCAGAGCGAAGATGTCATGGGGAAACAGATTCCCAAACACGGATTCCCATGGAAAAGAAGGGCAAGGTTGGGAGTCTTGGCTCATTTGGCTGCGGTCCCTTCCCAGACTGTGCCCCAGCTGATTTTCCTGCTCGGTTACCTCCTTTGACCTTCTCCCAGAGACTCTGGCCGCCCTGCTTTGTGGCTCTTAAGTGCAACCTTCTGTGACCTCTGTGTCACTTGAGATGTCACCATGGAGACTGCAGACCTCCCTGGAGCTGACCTTTCCTTTTCACTCTCTGGTTTCCAGGCCATGGGCACCACCCCCAACACACATTCTCCTTCAGCCACTGGGTGTGTCCCATAGGATTCTTCTGTTCTACGGATGGTATTTTGGGATGAGGCTGTCTTGCATAGTGCTAAAATGGTGACAGGGATGTTCTGACTCATTATTACTGTCAACTCCAGCTAACCTCGAGTTTAATTCAATGTAACTGAGGCAGAGAAGGACGACTGGAAGCAGGCAAACAGCAAGCTTGCGTCTTCCATACAAGCCTGGCAGCAAGGACCCCTGCAGGCCTGGTTGTTGCTGTCATTTGCTTATATGAGTGTTTGTTTGTTTTGTCTATCTGCAATATAACCGCTGGAAGGATGCATCTCTGAATTCATCCTCATCCTCAGTTGCTCAGCATGGTCATGGGCTTAGAGTAACATCTGTGATCTCACTGGAAAGAAGAAGATGTCATAAGTTCAGAGTCATGTAGATCAGTTTGCTGAGATTTATAACACCAAAGACTGCCAGTTCTGCAGACCTTCAGGAGTGCCCATGCCGGGTGGCCAGGCCTGCGAAGCAGCTGTGACAAACCTTGGTGCCCCCTTTCACTAGTGTTGACTTTACTCCTCTGCCACGGCCTTACTGTCCCTTCCAGGAGAAATCAGGCCACCCATCAGAGGCCCACAGCTGTGGATTGTGTCAGCACACTCCCTGTGGCTGTCAGGAAAATTTATGTGGCTAAAGCACACCCAATTTCCAGGTCTGGCCTGCCTCCAGGTGCCTGGCCCAAATCTGCATTTCACGTGCTGGTCTAAGCATAAGCTATGGGTGAAGCGTGAACTCTTAAGTCCCTCTGACAAACTGATTCTGGAGATGGTGACATGCGTCACGTCAGTGGTGTGTGATTCCAGAAGCTGCATCCTTCTCACCTGCGGAGTGGGACCCGGGCATGAATGCTCGGTTGCATTTCCATTCATCAGGTGCCCCCATCATAATACGCATGGCTCATGGTCCCAGAGTTGGCCTTGGGTGAACACTCTTTCTTAAGTCTCTTCTCTCCACTTTTGTAGCCTTCTGCAGCCTTCAGAGGTCGAACGGAGCAAGAGCTGCGTTTCTTCTTCCGCCCACAGGTTCCTACTATACACAGGTCCGTGGGAGCATCCTACCCTTGAGGCAAACTCTTGTCTAGGAGATGAAAACGGGTCCCGGCGGTTCTCTGTGAAACACGAAGGTGCCGAGTCTCTGGCTCTGATAGGATCCTGTAAACTTCTAGACTTGAGGCCACCAGAGACTTGTGTCCACTTGGAACCCTGGACATTTCTAATGGGCATGTATCAGTTACTGAGCCAGAGCCAGCTCCATCCATGCTGAGTGGGAGGAAGATTGGGAGGCAAAGATGGACCAACCTCCACTTTGGCAGGTTGATATAACAGGGTGACAGTTCTTCGAAAACAAGGATGAGAGGGGGTGCAGCTGTCTTTCATGAAGTCCATTCTTGGGAATTCAGGGGCTGGGAGCTGTGTCCAGTGCAGGTATGCAGTTTCATTGAACCCAGAATGAGAACATGGCAGAGTTGGACAATATGGATCCAGGCTACCCAGGTAAATCAAAATTTCAGATAAGCAGGAAAGACTTCCAGTCAAAGTGTGACTCGGGTTTTCTTCAAGCTCAATTTAAATTTAACCAGGCCATCCTGACTGACTTCACCAGCAGCCCTGGAAGAGGGCTGTGCGGGTTCCAACCACTGACCTTGCCAAGAGGTCAGATGCAAACAGCCAAGTTCAGAGGAAGGAAAGCAGGGCAAGAAGCCAGGCTGGGAATGGAGCTCAGATGAAAGTGGGTGTGGGTCTGGCACGAGAGATATGGGACCAGGACAAACTGTCTGGTACAACAGGAGAGTCAGCTGCATGGGTTACAGAGTCAGGCTTCCTGCTCAGGCCTGAGGTGCCCTGACGAATCTGAACAGGAATGTACCTGGGGTCACAGAGAAGATATGGACACAGCCTAGGAAAAAGACATATAGATGCAGGGCAGTCATTCCTGTGAGAGATGTAGTTCTGTCTGGCCTGCATCTGACTTAGGTAAACATAGAGCCTCGTCCTGCAGTTGGCCCTAGCCCCTCCATGTCTTCCTCCCATCCATCACTATAGCACGCAAATGTTTCCAACAGGAAAACAGTTACATAGTGCCATTTGTGGTCTGGTCTCAGCCCCTATTTCCTCTGATATCAAGGGGCAAAAATCTCAGATAAAAATCCAAGAAAGCCTAGGCCCAGAGTCTCTATTCTTCCCTGAAGTTCTGTACTGCTGTTCCCTGATGCTTTACACTACTTCTCTCTGGTGCTCTACACGGCTGCTCCCTGGTGCTCCACACCGCTGCTCCTTGGTGCTCCACACCGCTTCTCTCTGGTGCTCCACACCGCTTCTCTCTGGTGCTCCACACCACTGTTCCCTGGTGCTCCACACCGCTTCTCTCTGGTGCTCCACACCGCTTCTCTCTGGTCCTCCACACCGCTTCTCTCTGGTCCTCCACACCGCTGTTCCCTGGTGCTCCACACTGCTTCTCTCTGGTGCTCCACACCACTGCTCCCTGGTGCTCCACACTGCTTCTCTCTGGTGCTCCACACCGCTGCTCCCTGGTGCTCCACACCGCTTCTCTCTGGTCCTCCACACCGCTGTTCCCTGGTGCTCCACACCGCTTCTCTCTGGTGCTCCACACCAGCACTGGCTTTGCTCTGATGTCTCTGCTGTCCCTTGTGCTGCTCGTGTTCCAGAAGTACCATGGTTGGATCAGCAGTTCTAACATGGTGCCCCATTTAAAGGTGTGATTCCCAGTCTGACAGGAATAAGAAGAAATGTTGAAGTACGTTCTAGTGGGAAGAGGCTAGAACAATGGCGAAGAGTCCTTGAAGAGGTGTTGGGACCCCAGGACTCCTAGTCTCCCACTCTTCTCACATTCTGACTGTTTACTCCACCAAGTCCTCCCACCCGGATCCTGGATGTGATAACTTGCTGCAAGTCCAAGAGCAACAGGCCAAGTAAAAACCTCTGAAGATATAAACCCAAATAAACCTTCGATTGTCTCAGGTATTTCGTCATAGTGACCCGAAGCTGACTGATACAGCAGGTGCCTTTTCACATAGATGCCTGAGGACACTCTAAACGATGCTGGTAGGGCTTTGAGAAGAGTGTCCTGGCCGTTCTTCACCTACCCGTAGGCAGCTGTCCTGTATTCTGGATAAGTCTGAATGCGAACCAAACAGAAACACTGCGCACGTGTGTGTGCAAGTGCAGGAGAAACAGAGACATTTACTTATCACAGTGACCCCCTCTCTATCATTCCCTGGTTCCAGGTGAGGAAAGTCAAAACGGTGGCCCAACAGGCTTGCTCACCTGCCCGAGGAAGCTCCTTGGCCACCTAGGGGGATGTTGATCATAGCTAATTACAACAAATCAACCTACTTAAAGGTCAAGTGGGCCACGGGATCAGGTCGTTCATTGCCGCCCCATCCACACTTCATTCCCTTCCCCTTACTGTAGACTACTCAAGCTCTTGTCCCTTCCCTCTTTCCTGACTGTAGAAAGATGTTTCCACGGGCTTGGAGATCATGTCTGAGGCCCAACTGAGTTCCTAGGATCTCAGTGGGAGCCACAAGGGGTCCTAAGTTGCGAGGAAGGCCCGGGCTGCCATAACTTCTTTGTCAGGGCAGTATTAACTAGCTCTCTTGGATTTGCTGAGAACATCAACCAGGGGCATTTTGCCTATATTTGAAATTCTAGGGACACAGTGTCATGCCCTTAAATAGACGAGATCGCTGGGCATACTGGGCTCATGAAAGAAATGCCAGGCTCCAGACCAAAGAAAAATTCCTGAGAAGAAAAAACTCACGCCAGTCTTCATGCTGTGGGATCCGGGGATGCATGTCCGCAGCAGTCCACCAGGTGGGAAAATGCCAATCGTATTTCGCATTGGAACAACGGTATTTTTAGTATTTATTAAATTTAGACTTCCCCATCTCTCTGTTGCTAAACATCTATGCACAAACAAGATGCGACTTTGCTGGCCCAAAATAAACAGAGCAAATACTTTCCCAGATTCCCAGCCATGAGAGAATGGACAGCTGCCACCAGGGTCCGGGCTGTCTTCTCACATGGGGCACAGTTGGGGTCAGGGTGCCCACGATGAACCAGACACGTCTAGATCACCAGTGCAATGACGTCACTGCTAGTTAGCTGCCTGCCCTTGGAAGGCCAGGGGAGCTCTCGTAGGCCTGCTTTGGGGTGGAGACAACCCTGGCAAGGTGACTGTCTGGAGTCCACGTGGGGGTCTCTTACTGTCCTCTCCACAAATGGGTCAGTTTTTCATGATTCTTGGTGTCACTTCCTTCCATGCCTGAACTCCAAGTTCTGCTCTCAAGGGCCAGGCAGACTTCGCTAACTGCTCTTCCACAAAAGAAAAGGCAAAATATTTTAAGGCACTAGTCACATCACCCCAAGTAAATTCGAGCCTATCTCTCCATCTGTCTTAGTAATAGTTAAATAATTGCTGAATACGTTATCCGAAATGGCGATGAAGTCACTGGTTAGCTGGTGGACTACCTCCTTAGCTGACGAGCCAGATGTAGTCCCACTGGATTAATGACAGAAAGATACTTTTGAAATGAAACCGTAACACAGTGAAACGTTTTCAAATAGCATTTTAATAGTAAGACAGATTTGCGTCTAACTGTGGTGCTTGCAAGCATGATACCATGATTGGAATACACCCAGGGACATTTATCAGTGCTTTCTTAAACTTCAAAAACTAGAAGCAGCTAGATGCTAAGCTGATCAGTGAAAAATGAGAAGTAAGTGTGCCTTGTGGAAACTTTCAGCCCGTATGACAGCAATGACAATAAATAACAGGGACTTTCTCGAAATAGCAAGGAATTTTGAAAAATAAGGTATTCATAAAATAATGAATTAACATAGCTAGTAAACTTTAAAATACTGATTTCTTCCAACAACCAGAGACATACAAGCTCAGAAGACAGTCTTCTACCTCTTTTTCTGTTAATCGTATCTATTCGACTATGCTGTGCACGTAAGCACAGGTGCCCGCAGAGGCCAGAGGCATTGGATCCCCTGAAGCTGGAGTTACAGAGAATTGGGAACTGCCCAAGATGCGTTTGGAAACCCGAATTTGCTCTTAACTGCTGAGCCATCGCTCCAGCTCCTCTCCTGTTCTCTACCTCTTACATTGGAGAAAGTTGAGAACATGTATTGTACCCAGCCTCCATGAAGTCTGAGAAACAGAGCCCTCGTGAGATGGTAGCTACTTCCCAGGGGGAATGCATCATATCAGCGAAGTGGCAAAACTTCTGACCTAGAAAAAATCATTCTGCAGCCATCCACACTGAGAAAATGACCAGGAATGCTGGCCATAGGCTGAGGCGCAAGTCTTACAGCAGTGAACACGAAGGTTGAGAGTGTTATATAAAAAGCCCCACAGGAAGGGAGAATAAAGTTCCTGACGGTTCCTGAACATGCTCCCAAGGGGCTAAGTGAAAAGATGTCTATGTTAGGGTCTGAGAAAGCTGCACGCATGCTTCCATGAGCAAGCCCTACTTTATCACTGCAAATAGGGGCAGAGATAAGTTGAAAGGGTCTGATCACGGCGTCCCAAATGGCTTCTGTTTTGTTTTTCTTGTACTTTGATATTTTATATATTCTTTTAGGGATAAGCTCAGATAGATAGATAGTACTTGACCTCTATTATGTCAGGAAAACAACAAAGAACTAAAAACCCTACACTATAGTTGTGGTGAAAAGGACACACCCAGCTTACTTCGTTACTATGGAAATTAGAAGGAATATTTTTGTAAGGCAACATAGCTTTACCAACCACGAACTTTCTGATTTAGTAGCACTGCTCTATTATTTTAAGGAACAGAATTGCTCTGGGAAGGCATCAGGCCAGGGCTGTACATTTGTCAGAGAGGCAAGCAAGAGAAGAGGGAGTCAATCTGTGGACCCTTGTGCCAGCAGAATCTTGCAACTGCAACTTCCACCCAGTGTCATAGAAGTTCCTTTTGGTGTCTAGTGTTGTTTCCAAATCCTGGGTGTCCCACTGTGCCAGGACTGCGTGTTTACACACGTGAGTTCAAGTGAAAGGAGGTGTCAAGGGATTAGATTTGCTAGGATGGTGGAAGAGGGCTTTCAGTAACTGATCTTAGTGTCATACTAATTTCATGTGACTGTAAAAACTTAAACAAGGAAACTGGGTTCAAGCCTCTGGGGCTGACTCTGAACGGATCCTGTCTTTAATTGCTCTGATTCTTGTTTCTGTCGATTCCTAGTTCCAATGTATGACAAACGGTGTCGAAGTTTGCACGGATGGGTCCATAACCCTGTAACAGTTTAGTAACTGGGTAAGTGACGAAGTTAGTCATCACTAAGCCCGTCGACAACCCCTTCAAGTACACAGACAGACAGTGTTTTCGTCTCCCGGCATAGCTTGCCGGTGTCACTGAAAGGTCGGGCCCCAGGCCTTGACCTCTGCAGTGTGACCTGTTACTTTAGCAAGCAGCTGTCCAGTCGGGTTAGTGTCGGGTTTCCTAAGCAGCCAGCTGTCTTCACTATGCAAAGACTGTTAACTTTCCCCTCCCTTCATGGCATGTTCATCTTCATCGTTTCCCCTCTTCTCGAAATCAGCCTGGGTGATGTCTGCCAAAGATTCCCTGTTGCATCCGGGACCGTCAAGGGTAGTGACCCTGCATCTTTGAGTAGATGTCTTAGCAAATTTTCCTTTCGGTGCCTTCACGTATCATTTATAGCTCACTGTAAAATAAGACCAACAGACTGGGTGGCTGGAGAGACTGACTCGGAGTTATGCTGTGCTTTAGGATGCCGACGTGCCTTAAAGTCTCTCTGCTGCTCAGTTCCAGATCTCCACAGTGGCTCCTTACTTACCAGGCAAGCTGGCAGGTGATGGCCAGAGAGCTACCTGACACCTACAATTAGCTCGGGATATGGAGGTGCTGTTATGTCTCAGGTAACACTTATGTGGCTATAGTGGGTGGCCCCTCACCACCACCCTGCTCAGAGTCACAAAGACCCTTCCTTTCTTTTTTTTTTTTTTTTTTTTTTTTTGGTTTTTCGAGACAGGGTTTCTCTGTGGCTTTGGAGCCTGTCCTGGAACTAGCTCTGTAGACCAGGCTGGTCTCGAACTCACAGCGATCCGCCTGAAGACCCTTCCTTTCTGTCCCCAGGTTCCAGTTGCCATCTAAGCCTCATTTCAGGCTCTCTGGGCATCTCTAGATCTTGTGTCCTGGTCTGTCCCCACCCATGACAATCACCTGCTGCACGCTCTAAGCATCTCCAATACAGTGCTCCCTTGTGACCTCCTAGGTTACCACCTGCTCCATAAATCAGCAACTGAGTTCACTGCCAGGATGGACTTGGATCAGGCCTTCTGATTAGGCCAGAACAGAGATGGAGTGGGGGCCTGGGCCACTCAGGGCTTTATCCAGAAGCCAAAGGACAGCATATGGAATGTCAGCATTGAGTGGCTGAGTGGTACCATCATTGACACCTGGAGGAGACCAGCAAGGTGATAGCAGACTGCATGACGGAGTCATCGTGGACACTGCCTTTGGAGACCAGGGTAAGAATGAGTTCATTCCCAAGACCTCAGCATGCTCAAGGCAGAACCAAGGTCCAGAGCAAGCCTGCTGGGGAAAGATTGGGCAATGAGAATGTCACTTACGTCTATGTGTCTATGTCCAGCTTCCCAGGACCCAAGGGAATGACATCGGTTTCAGAATTAAAGCTTTCATGACGTTTGCTGTTTAATTGTCCTTTCCAGTGGCTGGTCCTATTCTGAGGCAAGACAGCGGAGCTGAGAGGACCCAGCGTGGGGAAGGGACATCACAGGGGCGATAAACATTTCTTTAGGCATTTCTTCAAATCCACACGCATTATAAAAAAATGTCTGACACATGTCATGCATCCTGTAATGCCTGCTGTTCAAGTGAATTTAGAAAAGAGTCAGCTTTTCTTAGCTCCTGCCACAAGCCAGGATGCTCTTGTTCTGATTCGAAGGAAAGTATGCAACCAATGCAGTAAGAAGCGTGTCCTGATGGGACAGTCGCTGCTTTCCCAAGGCTGTAGTTATCTACGCATACAGCCAGGCCAGACTTCATGCTTGGAAACACTGATTGGAGGACCTAAGAGGAAATAGGTTGCCATGCATCTAACTTGCCAGATGACCTACAGCCAAGATGAAAAGGAGAAAGAGGGCTTTGGTCCATCTTGACTCTGTGAACGGTCCTTGTGGACTGTGAAACTTGTCCCAGGCTTTCCGCAGGGAATCAGGAGTCATGGGTTAGTCCGTAGATAGACGTTAAACATTCCTAATTCAAAATCTAAAATTTAAAAAAAATGGAAATGCTTCAAGCACAGACATGATGTGCATTAACAAGAATTGCCAGGATCGACCTAGGGAGCTGGGTCATAGTTAAAAGGCAGGCTTACATTGCATACAGAAATAGTTTCAGATAAAGGAAATATAAATGGATTGTGTTTTACCTGGTTCCATAACTAAGCTATTTTGCTATTTATGTGCAATTAAAAAAAACACTCTGAAATCCAAATGTTCTTGTCTTCAAATAAAGTCCTTCCAACCTGTGTTGTCTGCCATCTTTCGATATTTTGAATGCTGCAATCTCTTATTCCCATGACCTTTCTTTAGAGTGAAATGTATTTTCCAAGCAAGATAAGATAGGTGTTCTGCCTACTGAGTGAAGCTCGGTGAAGGCATTGGGGGCTTTTAGGTGATGGAATTTCCATGGTATTTCCAGCCAGAGCACCGGGAAGGACAGCATAACTTCCTGAATAGGACGGCGGGTGAACACAGAGCTCCAGAGACCGTTAGGTTCCCATAGTGCCAACAGGATGTGTCGTGCAGCAGAGCTCAGGAACTTTCTGCCCCTTGGGCTGTGAAGGGAAGCTGAGCTCGGTCTAATCTGTCCTTAATCAAATTCCTTGTGGATGAGAATGGGAGGCAAGGTTGGCTGGGCCATGAGCTCAACATTGGAAAGGAAATTAATGACGGTCCTTGATTGGGGAGCTGGCAGGGAAAGGCTGCTAATGAGGCTGCCACTCTGAGACCTCAAGGCCCTTGACTTTGGTAGGGACACACATTCAGCGCCAAGGGGAAAGGGAGCATTTGTTGACAACTGGCTTACAGATTCAGGTGGCAAAAAACAGCAGGTGGTTACCAAGGCTCCCGAAGATGCATTGACAAAAAGTCAGATTCCCCACCCTGTGGAGTCCTGCTGTATTCAGAACAATAGTGGGTGATTGTGGGCAGTCTGGACATTCTTCTGCTTGTTGTCTCAAAATGATGCCTGATCACAGTATCACCCATGGCCAGGCCTGGATACCACAGCTCAGCAGGATGATCAGGCCTCCCAGAGTTTGTGAACAACCACAACTAGCAACACACAGGAAGAGCTGGGGGAGAGCTCAATGCGAGAGAGCACTTCATGCCCAGCCTGAGAGCCCTGGAACCCAAATAAAAATCTAGGTGTGGCCACATATGCATATGTGACACCAGGACTGGAGGGGACAGAGGGTCACTGGAGCTTACTGGCTGCCAGCCTGTTTCCAGGTTTGATGAGAGACTCTGTCTCAAGGGAATAAGAAAGAGCATAGAGCAGGACATCTAGTGTTCTCTGCAGGCACACAAGAGCACAGGCACACACACACACACACACACACACACACACACACACACACACACTACTCACAGAGCCAAGTACAGGTGTGTGCTTGTGGTCTGGAGCCCTGAGATCAGGGATCACCTGAAGCCAAGAGTTTAAATTCAGCCTGGGCAACCCCCATCTCAAAACCCAAAAGAAAATAAAACCAGAAACACCCATAGGTAGAAAAGAGGTAAGTCTGCCTGTAGCGTTTTCCAACACCCGCTATCCTCAGAACCCGGAAAAAACACCCTAACTTAACCCTGCCTGAGGTCATTCCTCTTTTAAATTTATATTTGGCACATGAGATTTTCCCCCAAGAAAGTCTCAGTTTGTCAGCGTGGCCATTCTAAAGCTGTTATTTTTACATAGCTCGTGTGAAATGGGTAGATATTTTTAGAAGCCTTCCATTGCCACAAATGGAAGAAAGCGGTGGGTCTTAGAGGCCACTTCTGATCTCATTATACTGCACTCCATGTTGGTGAGAAAAATGCACTTTGAGAAGTTCATAGAACCCAGGCCAGATCTTCAGTTTGTCCTTCACTGACCAAGAATGCACTGTATCTCCCCACTTGGACACACGGGCTCTCCCACCCTTTCCACAGCCCCCTAAAGTCAAGACCTCCAATACTAATTCATGTTTCTCCTGTCACTTGAGGCCCACAAGCCTTTCTGGGAAGTGCAGGCTGCCGGTGTCATCTCCCTGCCAAGACTAACAGGACAGAAAGATCCTCGCACCTGTCCCAAATCGTAGCCAGCAGCTCTGTGGGCACTTTCCAAAGGCTGCACTTTCCGAGAGGCTGCACTCGGCCTCTGCCCTCCTACGTGCAAGGCACAGAGCCCATTATCATCTCCTCTTCCATGATAACTGATGACTTCCAGCTCCCCCACACATGCGCCAGGGAAGATGAGCGAGAGCCCTCAGCATTCCCTCTTTCTGAGGCTCCTCCAAATGCCCAGGATTCCTTGCGTTTCCTGAACGGGTTCCCTAGCCTCTACACGCAAGCATTACTGCTTGTCTAGCTCGGGTTGTTAGCCCAGGCCTTGTCAGAGTCTTGGTGTTTCAAAGACCCTCGAGGCATTGAGGGCTTGGACGAAGAGGGTGTTTGCACAAATGTTCTGTGTTTAATGGCCGGACAGCAAAATAATTTACGGTCTACTTTCAGGGGCGCAGACTCTATGATCTAAGTTCAAGAAAGAATAGAAGGGTCCCAGTGGCATGCACACATACACAGAAGATTGCAGTGAGGACCCTGTGTTTGGCGAGGTGGCACTGAGGACCTACACACTTTTCAAGCTTATCAGGAGAGCGTGGGTTGTAGAAGCCTAGGAGGTGTGGTTCAAACCAGTTTCCCTTTTGCATTCATTCATTCATCCATCCATCCATCCATCCATCCATCCATCCATCCATCCATTCTCTATGTATCATTACAGAAAATCCTAGGGTTAGGAACATAGAGGGCATGATAGTCTCTGTGAGGAGGTCCATCTATAGAGGGGGAGGTCATGACCTGCTACATATATGCTTGATCATAGAGTTGCTGGAAAGACACCTATCTGGGGTGGACAGTCCCAAGCTACTTGAGGAGGGGCTTCCCTAGCTGGTTATCAAAGATAGGGGTATTGGGAGGTAGAGTGGGTGGGTGAGGACTACCTCAGGGATTTCTGGAAGCCCTCGGATGAGAGACCATCAGGCCAGGTGATGGATTGGGACACCTGGTACACATGTAGACAGGAGGATGCTGAAGTGAGCAGCTCAGATGACCAGAGCTTTGTGGTCATCTACTGGTAGGCAGAAGCCAACTGGGTTGATGGATAGGAAGGAAAGGGGCCTACACAGGCTGGGAAGAGACCACTATGCCAACCCTGCCAAGACTGAGCCCTAGGAACTCCAGATAAAACCTGAGCCTTTGGTGCAACACACAGGAGAGATTGTCCCCATCAGTCTCCAGCGTTGACACTCACCCCACAGAAGTGTGACTTGGGTCAGCTTTTGTGGCTTCTCTGAGTACCACTTTCCTTACTTGCAAAATGGGCACAAAATAAACAAACCTCAATGCCCCTGACCCTGGCATGTCAGCACCTGTGGGTGAGAGCCATGGTTACTGTTTCTGTGAGTAGTGGCTATTGCTGGATTAGTGGCTGTGGTCTTGATTAGTGTGGTTTCTGTTTTTTCTTGTGTGTCAGCCAGGACGCTTCTCCACTATCTGGGGATAACTGATGTTTGGAG